CATCTGCCTTCGGCTCAGGTCATGATCTCAGGGTCCTGGGATCGAGCCCCGCATCGGGCTCCCTGCTCGGCGGGGAGCCTGCTTCTCCCTCTCCCACTCACCCTGCCTGTGTTCCCTCTCTCGCTGTGTCTCTCTCTCTCTGTCAAATAAATAAATAAATAAAATCTTTAAAAAATAAGTAAAAATTAAAAAAATAAAATTAAGAGAATGAGGCAAAAGGTCAAAATGCATGACCATGGCCCCAGGAACAATGCAGCTGTGACTGGGAGCCCAACAGGTGAGCCAGAGACCTCAGGGTATGTCCACATCACCAAGTCCCCCAGAATCAAAACCTGACAGACAGGGCACCAAGAACCCAGACCTCCCCATACTGGGCCTGAAAAACCAGATTAAAGCACACATGCACACACAAAACAAACAAAAAAACAAAGAACTATGATAGTGTCCAAATACAGCAACTTACAGACTCTTGTAACTATGAATAAAATGTGAAAGAGACACACTTGATCATATACCGGTAAAAACACCCTCTTACAAATAAATCTTACCATAGGGTAAACAGTCCTCACGTTTTCCATGCTTAAATATTTGTGCCTAAAAAAAAAAAAAAAAAAAAACTGTTAAATGTTACAAACATGTTTACAAATTTAGAACAGAAATTATCAAAACAGTTCACAGCAACTCCCGTAATTTTTATTCTAAATACCACAAAATAATGAATAGTTTCTGTACACGACAAAGGAATTACAAAAGGCAGGAGAGGCCATGTCCCTAAAGGACTTTGTGAACTAGGAATGCAACCATAAGGCCGGTCCACTTAGGGAGGGCAAGGCATCACTGCTGACATGTACCCAAGCTGCCGTTAAGGGCATTAGCCCTAAGAAGGAGAGTGAAGAATCTCACTGGGTTTTCTCTAATGACCTGTGTGTAAGAAAAGGTGTGAAAGGGTAGAAGTTACAGGCCCAAGCAGGCCCTTCTCACGAAGGTCAGGAGCCCAAGCGTGTGCTCTTGGAGTGTCATTCATGCTCAGTCAACAAGTGAGAAAGGGCTCCCCGTGCTTCTCACACACATTTGCTCATCCTGTGGGGCCCCAGTGAGGTGTCTCCCACCCCTGTCCCATAACCAGGGACTACGTCCAAACTCAGAGACCTCACAAGCTCCAGAATGCTCAACCTGGAATTTTACCCTCCACTTTTAGGTCTGGAAGAAAAATGGGGTAATTCACACAAGCATCCAAGCCCATTAAACAAAGAATCCTAGCACTGAGCACTTCTAAGAATTTCTTACAAGAATTTCCTCTCCTTCAGAAACAGTATTTAACCAGCAAAGTGAGAACTACTTCTGTTTTAGATGTGAAGGTACGTGAGCCCATGTGCGCTAGACTCCCGTCCCCCTGACACCAGGTCCTGACAGTCAAGGAGTTGCTCAGCCCTTCGAGCTGCCCCCACTGTGTGGGCTTCCCAGCCATGGAGCACTCCCCAAACCACCTGGCCTCAAGGGACAGACAAGCTACCCCATGCCCAGACTATCAGAACCCACAGAATCCTCACAATAGCTGCGGTTTTAAGCCACAGGCTTTGGGGTGGGTTGTTATCCAACAGAGAACCCGAGACGTAGGAAATTCACCCTTTGGTCAGGATGCTACTGTCTAAGCCTGAATGGCAAACACCACCCTGACAGCAGGGTGAGGACATGTGGCAGGGACATAAAGAGAACTCACCAGTGCAGAAAGTCTGCAGGGAAGAAGGGAACGACTGTGAGCCGCCAGGAACAGAGCTCACAGCACTTGGCGGTTGGTTAAAGTATTCTTTGAGGGATGCTTGGGTGGCTCAGTTAGAGGCTCAGTTAGTTAAGCGTCTGCTTTCGACTAAGTCATGATCCCAGGGTCCTGGGATCAAGCCTCGAGTTAGGCTCCCTGCTTCTCCCTCTCCCTCTGACCTCTTCCCTGCTTGTGCTCTCTCTCTCTCTCTCAAATAAATAAAATCTTTAAAAAAAAAGTGTTTTTTGGGTTTATTCACCAAGTAAACTAGTAAGAATTTAAAATATTATGACATGCCAGAAGTGTTCTCTCACGCGAACATTCTTTATTTACCAAATTCCTTACAAAGTCTCAGTAAGAGAACGGAACAAAAGGGATGAACGCTGGCGCTCACATGGCCCCATCCCTGGGCACCGGCAGATGCATGGCTCCACCCCTTGCAGCCCCACCCCACACAGAAGGGGGCCAGCACCGAGGCGCACAGCCCCAGCCGCTGTCTGGACTAACGGGAAGCAGTAACAATAACACGTCGTTTACGGGCACGAGAGGAGTTCCACCCCCTGCTCTTCCCAACCTTGAGCCCCGCAGGATAACCCAAGCGCTCTGGACACATGAAGACAAGGATCACCAAGTCCCAACCCCCTGTGAACAGACTCAGGAAGGCAAAGGGGTGAAAAGGAAAGAACAAAAAATCAATGAAGAAAGGGGCTTTGTTTTTGTTAGTCTTTTTTTTTTTTAGATTTTATTGATTTTTTTTCCAAAGATTTTATTTATTTGAGAGAGAGTGAGCACAAGAGAGCATGAGTGGGGGGAGGGGCAGAGGGAGGAGAAGCAGACTCCCCGCGGAGCAGGGAGCCCAACCTCCATCCCAGGACCCCAGGATCATGACCTGAGCCAAAGGCAGACACTCAGCCACCCAGGCGCCCTCCCCAGTCTGTTTTTACACGTTAAAACGGGGCACCTTCACTGCCATGCGCCCGTGAGAGCGTGCGGCCACGCAGGCGCTCACACAGGACGGTTGGGCGTGTGGCCACGCAGGCGCAACACAGGACGGTGGAGCAGGTAGAAATGCTCTCGTCTTCTCAAGGTCTTAAGTATTCATCAGCCAGGCCATGAAATGGGAGGTGCGATCTTTTCACGGAAGCATAAAAAATGAACCAACGGCCCACGCCTGTGAAAGCACCCACTTTCATAAGCAATTACGCCTCTTCGAGATCAGAGAGAACACCACCATGCAGCCCAGGAGAAATGACCGTCAGGTCTGTTTCTGTTGTTCTAGAAACCAGCACAGCGCAAGGTGCAAACAAAAGGAGTTTCTTAGTAATCATTCTAAACCACCACACCTTTCGATTGCTACCCACCCAAGCCTGCTTTTCTGCAATGTGCAAACCAGCTTCCCCTCCCCAGGGCATGTTCTCTGAGCCTGTGAATCACAGGCCGTCAGCCGCTCAGGAGCCAGTCCGCCCTGCTGCCGAGCAGGAGACACTGGTCTAAGGCTCCCTGAAGCACCACCAAGTCAAGGCCAAGAAAAGCAGCTCCACCCAGGACCTGGGAAAAAGGTCCCCCACACCATGCCCGCTCAGGGGTGCCCCCCCACCAGCACCTGTGAATTCTATGAGCTGGTGAGCACACTCCTTCAATGTGTGGTCCCATCCCCAGCGCCCCAGGAAAACATGACATCATAAACACACCAACACGCAGTCAGGATAGAGCTCAAGCAAAGTGGGCCCCCCTTTCTGCGCCCCTGACTCCTGTCGCAATGCTAAGGAGCAGTACCGTGCCCCCTCATGGCGGCCGTGCCACACACAAATGGGGATAAAAGTAAACACCATCAAGCACTGACACAACCGGTTCCAGGACGGACAGCATTCAGAGGATGGCCCATGGTCCTCAGCTGTGCCACAGCAAGCCCACCCAGGGCCACACCTTTCGTGGAAGGCAGCAAAGCCCCAATGGCTCTGCATCTTTATGTAACACCAAAAGACCCTTTACAGAGGAATTCTAACACACACTCCATAGTTTGGAGGACAATAACCCTCCTACCACCACCGGCTGGAACCCACTGCATCCACTGGCTTACAAAGATAAAAGAGAGGGGAATTTGAAGGAAGCCTGCCACCTCCCCCCAAAAATAACAGTAAGCTGAAACTGGTCAGAGAAGCACTGAGAAATACAGAAGCAGATGTGTCCGGAGGGCAGTGCCCACCCAGGCTGCACTCCAAGACCAGGCCCTGGCCAGGCAGACGTCCACCCTACAAAGGAGACAAGCCAGCCAGACCAGAGGTACCTCCAGCCCTCAGAAGAAGCAAGACATCTCCTCTCTTCTCTCGAGGGTGACCACTCTTGGTGTGGCCCTTGGGGCCCCCCCAACCTCCCACCTCATGGAAGGCTGTCAGACTCCATAAACTGACCTACCACACAAAGGCCTTCAAGGACCTTTAACAGAAGAATTTCAAACACTGCAAAGCTGAGAGATCTGAAAGCTCTCCATTAAAAGGGTTGGAATCAATCCGTAAGAGCAACAGACATGGTCCTGCTGCAGCCTCCATGAGGTGAGGAGGAAAGACCAGCAGTAGATGTACAAGACAGACCCAGGATTAGCAGGACTTAGTCCCTCCCGAAGAGGTCTTTGCTATTGCCACTGGCTTCAACAGCTAATAATTCTAGATAAAAATAATTGTTTCTCAGTTAACTGAAAAGTACCAAAAATACTGGTCACACATCTCGTACTTGCCTAATGCAGGAGATAAGAAAGATGCAAAAGACACAATTCCTGCCAGAGAACCTAGTAACCAGCGGGCCAGGGCAGCCCGTGCGCCATTCCCACACCAGAGCAGTGCAGCCACAGGCTCGGAGGAGGGACAATGTCCCAAGTGACACTGGCACCTGGGCAGGGAGGGGCTCTGAGCCCAGCGGGAGGAGAGGGCCCCCTCCCCTCCAAGTGGAAGTGAGGAGAGGAGACCCAAAGAGCAGGAGGAAAAGCGGGTGGCACACCTCCCCGAGGGACTAAACGGGCACAGAGCTGAGCCCACTGAGGGACGCTGACGGGGCCAGTGACTGAGCAAGAATACCCACGGCAGGAACCACTGGGAAGAGCCTCTGCCGTTTCCGACCCACACCTCCATGCTCACCCCTCTCCTAACTCAGGGCACACACGAGGGAGTGCAAAACCCTGGGGGAAAGCAACACAACCAACCTGCTTGGCCTGGTGCCTGGCCCCCTGCTGGAGGGGCCTGAAGGACAGACCTCTGCAGGCTGTCTACTCTCTGGCTCCCCCACCCCATCCCTGGGCCCTTTGCCACCGGCTCTCCAGAGTGGCACCACTGAAGGTGGTACAGAAAAAGCACAGCTGCGGCTGAGGAACCGAGAGGCGGTGCCAGTGCCCGTGGAGGGGGCTCCACAGACTGAGAGCGGAGAGCCTTGTTCTAGGCCGAGGACAGACTCCTGGCCCAGGGTGGAGGATGGGCCATGGAGGCGGTGACCAGCACACCAGGAAAGGAGGGCCAGGCCAGCAACACATCCCAAAGCCTCATCCACATGGCCAGATGAGACTGGACCTGCTCCCTGCCTGAGCATTCTTGTTTGTTGCTGGGCCCTCATTCCACGGGCTGGCAGGAGGAGAGAAAAGGGACAGAATAGCAGGCACAATCTTGGACTCATGGAGTCTGAAGCACAACAGGTGCACAGAACTAGGGCTCTGGGACTAAGGAGAGGAACCAGGAACTAAAGGTCAAGGGTGAATCAGGAGAGAAACGTCAGCCGCCCTCAAACAGCAAGAACAAAGCCTGAGAAACACCTGCTTAGAGGGAGGGGTAAGGGCGGCCAGGTCCCATTC